TTTTTAAAACAAAAAATACCAAAAATCATCTTTTTTCATTCTCTACAAATAGAGACCACACTTGATATATTTTAGAACACAATTGCAATTTTTAAATAAATTAAAATAAAATAAATATTTAGGTTGAATTGAGTTGGAGATAAAGATAAATTAGGTTGGAAGATTGAGTTGTTTATGTGGAGAAGAGAGAAATAATTTTTAATATTAGGTTGGGTTGGGTTGGGTTGAGGATAAGGATAGTCTAAGTCTTGTATGGTTGAAGCTTTCAATCCGTCCCGACTGTGAAACATCCGGCTCCCCACACACCCACAAAAAAAAAAAAAAAATGTAGTTTCACTTATGTACAACTTAGTTATTTAGGGCGTGCTTGGATACAAATATATCGCTCAAAATGAGTATTTTTGGTTAATCAGCGTAATTTTGAAAAAAAAAGTGGTAGAGTTAGTTATTGAGATTTTGAGTTTATATTAAAATATTATTTAAAATAAAATAATAAAAGTAGATTTGATGTAAAAGTATGAGAGATAATGTGAAGTGATGGTTAGTTAAAATTATGTGAGTGGATGAATAGTGAATGGAAATTGATGTGGTGTGTAAGAATGATTGATTGATATTATTTAACTATATTGATAATATTGGAGATAGTTAGGTTGAGTTAAAGTTGAGTTAGATTTTGAGTATGAATTTAGTATAGATTGAGTTTATTTATAAACAAACACACCCTTATGCTTCCTTTCCTTATGTTATGCAGCTGCGGATGCAAGAAAGAGATCTTTCTTGAGAAAGAATTGGTACACTGATTCTCTCCATGTGTATTATTCTATATACGTTGCTAATTAAGAGAAGTATCCTTGCGGGTTGATGTAATTGCAAAGAAGCTTCACCCATTTTTCAAATTACAATTCTTCCAGGTGAAGCATGTTTCTAAAACACTGAATTCTCGGTCATACACAGGTCAAACGCAAACACGTCAATTGGCAAGTTTCCGTGGACCGAAACAGAACAATCCACTCGACCAATCAAAACACAAGGTATATGGCTGTGAGCCCAAAAACTTCCCAGCACGAGTCAAACTCGCCACAAACTGCACCCATATCAAGCCAAGAACCGATAACCTACACAGAGGCCCGGCTCTCCCCAGCTCCAGCCGGCCAAAATGTTCCTCTTTACGAAGTGGCCCACAGCAGGGCTGGAGACAAAGGCAACGACTTGAACTTCTCCATCATCCCTCATTATCTGCCAGATATCGAGAGGCTTAAGACGGTTATAACCCCAGAGTGGGTAAAGGAGGTTCTAACTCCCCTTCTGAATCCCTCGTCCTTTCTCGATCCGGATGATGTGGAGAAAAGGGAAAGGTGGGCCCGCGAGCATGTTGAGGTGGAGATTTACGAGGTTAGGGGGATTTGTGGGCTGAATGTAGTGGTAAGGAATATTTTGGATGGTGGGGTCAACTGCTCGAGAAGGATTGATAGGCATGGTAAGTCTGTATCAGATGTCGTATTGTGCCGGCATGTTGTGTTGCCACCTTGATGAATTAGGGGTTTATTGTGTTTTGTTTGCTTATGGGAGATTGTAATGTATCATGCGATGCATTGGGTGTGAATTGTGTTGTGGAAGAGCTTGGATCTTATAGTGATGTGATTTTATTGAGCAATGATGTTTCCCTTGTTGAGATTTTGTTTTTGAGATTTGGGATATGAACTGCAATGGAATGTTACTAGTGTAGTGATATAATTGAACCAAACGAGCCGAGGTTCGGCGTCTCGAGCTCTTGTTGTTTATATTCGAACAGTGTTCGTGTTCGTTCGTTTATTTATCGAGCAAAAAATTGCTCGTTCGTTAATTGTTCGTCAAAATTCGAGTTCGTTCGTATTCAAATAATTTCAGACTTAAACTTTTTAAATATGTTTGATTAACTCGAAATTTATTCGTTCGAACTCGAAAATAAAAAATAAAAAAATATTTATATACTTTAGATTTTTATTAAAAATATCTTGTAAATATATGAAAAATAAAATAATATTATATTAACTTAATGTTCGTGAATATTATCGAACGAGCTCGTGTTCATTCGATCATTAAATGGCCTTAATTTTCTGTTCAAATTCGACTCGATTAACAAAACGAGCTTTTATCGAACAAAAGCGAGCTTTTATTCACGAATGTTCGTTTAGTTAACAACCTACTGATAGTGATACATGTAAGTACACCTGTAGTGTATATATCATATGTACTTTGATTATTGGAGGTGCCCTTGTAACTGAATAATTTTTTCTGCAATAAATTATGTAATTGTTATAAAAATTTCTTTGAGTGGAAAATGTGTTAAAAGAGTATGGTTTTTATTTTTTTATTATTTTCCTGGAATAATCAAATAGTTTTAAATTGAGAATGAATATATTATAAGATGTAATGTAATGACTAGTACAACACTCGTGTATTACACCGGTGTTTGTTAAAAAATTATATTTAAATTTTAAAATTAATGAGAAAATTATATTAAATTTAGTTTACTTGTTTACCAAAAAAAATATTATTATATATTTTAGAATGATATGTGTTACTTACGACTTACATGTGTTATATTATATTAGTTTTTATAACTTATATCATATAACTACTTGAAATATAAATATATTAGTTGATAAATAATTTTATTTTTCTAATTAATATTAAAATAATTTTATTATTGTTATAAAGATAAATATAGATTATTTTTTATACGTACAGTATGGATGTTAAATCGAAGCTCATCAAAAGAAGATTAATTTGATATATTACATATGTAAAACTGATAAAAAATACAAAAGTTATTAACTTTTAAAATATATATACAATTCAATAGTTATAATAAGGAATGATATTAAAATGACCATAAATATTAATACCTTTAACATGATCATAAATAATTAACATATTTATGGTAATCCGAACTTAATTATTTTTTGTTTGGAATTAAATTAAAATTTACCCAAGCCTAATAACAAAGCATGTAATTTTGCCACATAGGATTTCGAAGCACCAGAAGCAGCCACGTAGGCTCAGCGCGTTTTGAATTAATATATAGGGGGAGGGGATAGGGGGGATTAAAGTTGATGTGAAATAACAATAATAAAATAATGCCAAAATATTGTATTGTTTATTTGCTCTATTACTTGGACTGGGCAAAAAATTCAAACCGAACAGCTGAATCGTAGATCCGAATCGAAATCGATCCAAATTTTCGGTTAACCGGGGTACTCAGTTCGGTTACAAATACCTCAAAGGAAGTATATGCTCGGTTCGGTTCGGTTACGGTTTTTAAGATTTTTTTACCCCGGTTAACCGAACCGAACCATATATTATATTAAAATTTATAAAATATATATTATATTATATATTATATTTATATATATTAAACTAACTCGCGAAGTAACCGAACCGAACCGAACCGAGCAAAGCTAACACAGATTTTTGTGTTAGGTTTGCTCGGTTCGGTTAATTCGCGAATAGTAGGATTTTTTTCGGTTAACCGAGATTTTTGGTTTGGTTTCGGTTAGCAAGTT